ACGGATCCAGGTCCCGCATCTTCACAGTGAGGCTTACGGATCCAGGTCCCGCATCTTCACAGTGAGGCTTACGGATCCAGGTCCCGCATCTTCACTGTGAGGCTTATGGACCCAGGTCCCACATCTTCTCAGTGAGTCTCATAGATCCAAATCCCGCAGCTTCTCAGTGAGGCTTATTCAATTGATTTCATAATAAGCAAAGGACTCAGGCAATAACATTCAGATGCTAAAAAACTCTCAAGAGGCCCACCCACACATTAATAGTTTTAACATGTTCTTTTCTGTTATTGAGGCCATTGCTTCCACTCACTATAGAAAATTAAGAACTAGATTTATTAAGAAAAGTGTACCCTAAAAATATATGAATTTGTTTTATTATACTGATCACCTAATTCTTTTTTTTAATTTGTAATATTCTTATTTTTTAACCTCTAACTCTTTATACAAATATACATTTGACAACATATGGAAATTACCTATGTGCAAATAGACAAAAATATCTTCGAATGGCCAAATAACTCAGTTTCCTGATGGGCAGAACAGGGTAGGGTCATTCACAAACAACAGCTAACTTCACTGGAAAAAATACTATCAGCAATTATTTGCTTCTCATTTTTAAACATAGTTAAATACTAAAACACAGGAATAGCATCTCTATATATTAAAAGGTATATAATTTCATTTAAATAAATTTAGAAAAAAAATCACTTGAAATCAGGGCTGTCCTATACCTTTGAATGGTCCCAAGAAATACATTTCTATTGACAAATTACAGTGTGCTCATGTGAAAAACCTTTCCTAAATGTGAAAAACTGTGGAGTAATATACACTCATCTCTGGCATTTAAGCTTTTCAAAAAACTTAGGAATTCAAACTGATATAATTTCTTTCAAGTATCTGAATAAATACATATTTTTGGATAGCCTCTTAAGAATAAGAAAGCTTAGAAATGAACATATCCAATTTTTCATTTTATAAATATGTAATAGTGGTATCAGGCAGAAAAACTGTAAAGAAAATTCTAATTATATATTTTACTGTTTAAATTATTTAAATAGTTTCCATGGGCCATCAACAGACAAATGTTTCTCTACTAATGAAAAAAGCAGGAAAGGTGCATTTTATCATTGGTGTAGAGTTTTTAAGTACTGTTTGAAAACACGTCTGTTCTCTGCATCCTGTTACTGATTTCTATAAGCCTGTGACTGCAGAGTAGGCAGACCTGCCAAGATTCCCTTCTCAAGCACGTACTTGCGAGTGCTGGAATAGCTTCTGCCATGCCAAGTTAATTAGCTTTCAAAGATTCAAAGTAAAACAAAAGAAAACTCTGCACAGTGTAGCAGAGGATGCAAGAAAACTGATTCATTGATGTTTAACATCTTATGCATCATATAAATGTTTTTCTATGGATTTATTTGCAGTCATAATGGCTCACTGTGCCCACTGGGTTAAATATCCACTAGGTAAGTTATGTGTCCAGATTGAAAAAAACCCAACTTTGTGTAAAGAATACAGAACCTGTAGTCAGGTAAGTGGGATCAAACATTCTAGCTATGTGAGTTTCTGAGAATTTAATAAATCTTTTGTTTCTTTGCTTATAAAAAATGAAAACAATAAACTGCTTTGCACAGTTATTACAAGGAATAAGAATATAAAACATACCCCAGGGAAAGAAGAGATCAATAAATAGTAATGTCAATCATTACTAGCTTGTAATACAATGAATCTTGGGCTCCTCTTGAGGAGTGAGAATAATAAAGGTATGTGTGAATGTAACTCAAAGATGAAAACATTTCAGTTTTTTTGAGACTGAAACAATGACAACATTTGGTATGATATCAAAATCATTAAATACTAAAAGGTTTAATTTTCCAATATTTTGAAAAAAAGTACTGCATTTTGTCCAAGAAACCTGGTTAGACTTACTGATGCAGAAACCTGAAAACTAGCCTGGATAAAAACCAAAACACTTTTGAACTTAACAACTTAAAGGTGATGATCACGTAGAGTATCCAATTATTTTAAATAGAGTATAATTATTAAAAATTAGTTCAACTGATTCATTAAGAGTGAGATATTAAGGTTAAGAAACTTTCCTTTCCTTTTTTTTTTTTTTTTTTGCAGTTTTTGGCTGGGGCCAGGTTTGAATCCA